GGAATGCCATATCCAAATCATCATAGTTATCACAGTTTTTCCCCTTTCTAAAGGGAAATATCTTAGACCATGCCAGCCTTTATCTTACTTTTTAATGAACATTTTATCCAAATCACTTGGATTCTTTGGTTAAATTCACTTAATACATATATATGAGTGCAGAGTGTTTGCAGAAAATTGTACCTGCTCATGCTTCTACTCCTGCTTCAAACCAGACCAACTTCAATGGATCTCTGTAGGGCTATTTCTTACAAGTACTCAGCATTTTACAAGAAGAAGCTAGCCCATTACTGAGATGCTTTCTAATAGATTTTTTCTGGGAGCAGCAAGGGCCACCTGTTCCCTAAGGGAAGGAGGGCCAGGAGCCAAATACAGTAACAAGGCCAGCAGAGCAGAGGCCTCCCCAGCCAGGGCCCAGTCCCACAGTACCTGAGTGAGGTGAGCAGGGCAGGTACCAGAACAGCAGCCAGGGTCAACCAAGAGTCCAGATCACTACACAAGTTTTTGGTGACAAGGTAGGTCTAAGATCAAGCCAGAAAGTTGAGCCAGGATCAGGCCTGGCAAGGGTAACCAGGGTCAGACACAGCTCCATGATCTCCAGGAAAGCCCACAGCAACAAGGCAAGTCTGAGGTCAAGCCAGGAAGATAGCCCATGGGTCAGGATCAAGAAGGCCCACAAGCATAGCTCAGACAGAGCTGGAGACAAACACTTCTACAACATTACCTAGGCAGGACTGAAGATCTCAGGCTGAGCTTAAATGAAGGCACTGGGTGGGTTGGCAGGGGGTGTGGGTTGAGGCCCCAGGTGAGGCTGGAGGCCCCAGGTGAGGGTCATTAAGGCCTGTTAGTGCCATCAAGCTCTGGCAGATTTAGGAGTCTACATTTACCATTTCAAGGCACTTTTGTTTGAAATATTCTTTCTCTCTCTTTTAATAGAACTGATGTGCAGCTGGAAAGCCTGAAATGTGAATAATGCTAAAACATCATGGCTGTTTATAGTGTTGGTAGAACTTTAGGTTTTAGTTTGGATATTTTTTGTATTTGCCTTCTGGTAAAAATTTCCCCCAAATTCAGGGTAGTTGGAAGCAAAACACAGTTGCAAACAAAAACATACTAGATCGTAGCTCTGGGACTTAGGAGGTCTTGTTTCTATTGCTACCTCAGCTTCTGTTATGCTGGCTGACACTGGGCAGTCATCATAGCCTGTCTCTGCATCAGTTTCTTCATCTGTACAATGGGAAGGAAGAGATTCTGACTTCTTGCCACAGTTACCTGGCTTTGTTAGATGAAATGCACTGAAAGAGACTACTAAAATGCAGAGCTGATTGACTATGAGCAGCACATGGAACAAAAAAGCATCACAAGGAGGAGATCTGTTCCACAGTCATGCAATTTAATGGAAGCTAGCTTTAGCTCTTTGGCAAATGCCAGCTTTAGAGTACTCATACTTTGTTGGAAGGAGTGTTTTGCTCTTCTGACATCCTCTCATGTTCTGTATATAAAAACCTAGCAAAAATCACTAGTTAAAAATCTTAATTTAATTCAGAATCTGCATATGCAATGTGATTTCACTTTTTCTTAGGCTTCAGAAGTCCACTGAAGCCAGTATATTGTTTCTATGTGTGAAACGACGTGAGAGAGGGATGAGCTCTTTGACTATCACCGAATACCGGGTGACAAAATCAACCATGCATAAATGAACAATGATTTCACTGACTTCTGAGTATTTCTCCAGGAAACTCCAGTGATGGATTTGGCTACGTGGTTGAGACCCCAGCAAAAGGATTTTCCCAGCACAGTGAATTCAACAGTAACAACTCCATTGCCTTCTTTAACGTTTTTCAGACCCCACCATCTGTGTGATTTGCCCATGGTCAATGCTACTGTCTACTGAAGGAAATTTGTCTTTCCAAAACAATGCATCTCAGTCAGAAGCTGTCCCTTTCAGTGCACCGGAACTGCTCCATGGACAAATTAAAAACAAGCATATCGGACAAACAAAGGTGAGGCATACTGTAAAATAAATCTTGAGAATACATCATGAAGACAAGCTTGTGGGTTTCAATGCAGCATACCAAACATCTACTACCAAACTCCATTTCTAATCACACTAAACAAATTAGGCTACAGTTAGAAAAATTTACATGTAACTTGAAGCTTGTCATTGAATTAGAATGAATGTCAACATCAACATCAATCTTGAACATCAGTTCTCAAGGTCTGCAGAAATGTATTATTTGTAAAGGCCCACAGAAAGGAAGAAAATTTTTATGAACATGAAATTTGACCAGCTACGGTAATTTTAATCCCAGAAGCAGCAGGACTGTAGTATCTACAGAATCAGAGAGTGGAAACTCTCACAGTAAATCTGAAATGTGTTCAGCTTTGTTTAACCATTTAGTTTTCTTCTCCCTGTCAAATGAGTCTCTCTAGCAAGACAGTAAAATACAACAATCAAGTGCTTAAAAGTTTTAAATATCACTAGAACCACATCCGTGCACATCTCCCTCTATCCAGGTAGAAAATACTGTAGTTTCAGACTCCCCACATGATTGAGCACTTCAGATGCTATGCAGAAACACAAAGCTTTGGAACAGACAGCCCTTATTTCAGTAATCCTCTTCCTGGACATAACCCGTAGTCAGCCCCACAGGGAGAGTTACTCCCCAGTGGGCTTCAAAACTGAGAAAGCGGTTCAACTTTATTTTTCCTACTCATGGCTTGTTGCATAGAAGGCAGTCTGGCTCAGCTCCTCACAATGAGCAATTCCCCTTGCATGCTATGTAGTCCATGTATGAAGAGTCACTCTTATACTTTTATATATGTTCCCTCTAGTCTAGTTTAAAAAAAAAAACAACAAAAAACAGTTTCGCCTTTGCCAATCTGTGGCCAAGGACTGTCTCAGTCTGTCTAGCAAGAGGCTTTTCTGTAATTAAGGTTTACTTCATAAAGGGTTTCCTTTTCTGTTTTGACAGATGTTGGTGTATTCCTTAGGAATGACCTTCTACTGGGCAGCAGACTATCAGGTTCCTCCAAACCAGGCCAGTAACACAAGTATTTTTGTTTTCTTTTATTCTGCCTCATGTTGGTAGGTTCAAAGATTGAGAGGCATAATCTGAAGTCTCAGTAACAGGGGTTTTAGGTTTGGACCACTAGAGAGAACACAGCCAGTTGGAAAGCGTGTGTCCAGACTTCCACCAAAAATACCAGTTCATCTAAATCAGAAATTTAGTTAGAATTTATTTAGGCCTCATCTCTTTCTTTTTTTTTTTTTCCAATTGAAAAGCAGAATTGCTCCTATTAAGATGAAATGTATCTTTCTTGCAAGAGTGAAGAGATTACTTGTTCCAAGACAACAATGAGCTACTTTCTAATAACATATGTAGGGCTAAAAGACAAAAAAAAGTCATATCTGCGTGATTCTGGTGCTGCAAAATATATGCACTTTTTCGAGAGTGGAATATTTTGGTAAAACTCTACCAGTGTCTCTGCTAATTGCAATTTTGTATTTCTTGCTGCTCAGTCCTTCAAAGATTTGTAGCATGTATTTTGCTTCATTTGTGTACCCATGCCATTGATTGCCCATTTCTGATTTGGAAAGCACTAGTTTTTAGTAGACATAACCTCCCTTCCATGGGTATACATGGTCTAAGGGAAAATAAGCTAAATGACTTTTGAAAATTTCTTTGGTCTCTATGGCTACAGTTTTGGCTGGTGTAATCCCTCAACTTTCTGAGGCTAACTCTACCCCATGTCTTGCTTGCATGAATCTTTAAGATGCATAGTCTTAGAAAAGCTGTGGTGCAGCCTGAGCTGCTGGCTATCACCAAGAAGCCCCATACACAGGCTGATAAACCTCCTGTACATGCTGGCTCTTTTCAAGGCCATCCTCCATTCCAGGAGAGGCTCCATTCAGAGTTGTTTTGCTTCCTGTCTGGAATTTTCCCAAAGTCTAAAGAAAGTCAGTGCCCATTTCCCACCCAAGGTGAAAGGCTTTCAGAAATTCCAGTTTACCCAGGACTTCAGATCATTACGAGATGTCATTTAACATTATCTCCATGTTGACTCAGTCCCTTCAGCTGAGCGACCAACTACACGCTCTCTTGCTGACACTATGTGAAGATCTGCCACATAAAAGACTTCCCCCTGAATCAATTCTGGCAGCATGTGAAGCACAGCAGAAGGAATCCTACTTCTTACCAGCAAATGTCTACATAAAGAAAATGGTCCAGCTTGTGCTGGGAAGTGTCAGTGAGGTAGGTACTACTCTTATACTCTAAATATCTCCTTCTCTTTGGTGAGAGAGATGAGCAGTAACTTGTGATACAAGTGAGCAATTGCCTAAAATTAATACTTGTGTCAACTAACAAAGTGAGATTTGATTCTAACCTTCTAAATAGCAAATTGTGTGGGCCTGTGTAAAAGCAAATGAGACAAGAAGCCATCTCAGACCCCTTTTAAACTTCTAGAAAATGATACAAACCCAGCTTTTGCACTCACAGTATCTTCATTCCCTTAGTTAATGCTTAAACAACCATAACCTTTACAGAGACTTCATAGTGGCCAAAGGAATGCGCTTTATACAAGGGAAAAGATTTCCCCATTGCCACTGTGTCTTCAGACTTTCTTTGTGAAATTCAAAGAAACCACATTTACATCATACAGAGAGTTTCATTCATTTTTCTTAACTGGAGCTGAACTTTTAAGATGTAATCAAGCCTGACAATGTGGAGCTTGAGTCTTCTTCAAGAGTTGAGTTCTTCAATATCTGAAATCTCAACATATAATTTTTGTTGATATGCTGAATGAAACTGGAAGAGAACCCATTGCAAATATCTTCTTTTTTCTTTTTCTGTTTTCAACTAGTATTCATTAGTATGTTGAGGTGATCTCTTCCCTTGTACTCGCTAGTACTCTATTTCTCACTGCAACAGAAGGTGTCCCTTCTTTAAGCACGACTAGCATGAAAGCATGAACTCAGCAAACCTCAGTCCTGTTTTGTGTTAATCTGAGAAGATGAAGTTGCTTATACCAAGCAAAGCAGCAGCCTTTGGCAAACTGAGGGCAAGGATCACTTCAGTATAATGGTCTGAAGTCCACATATCATATGACATTGACTTGCAGTACCACTGGCTTCTAGGTAGAACAGGGAGTCACAGAAGACAGCACAGCCTCTCAGCTTAACAGAAGTCATGTGATAAGGAAAAGACTGCACGAAAAAACATTGGACACCTCAGCATTGTCGTCCCGGATGAATTTTCACGCAGGTAAGGAAAGACTTCTAATCTGAACTGTCTAATAAAGATGCAAGGGGCCTTTTCTGAGGCTTTCCTGAGCCAGGTGAATTGCTTAACTTCACATTGTGGCAATTATATGTAGTGTTGAATAGGATACTTATCGCTTTAAATGGAAATCACTTCATAATGGAAAAACTCTGAGGCAAGTCAGCAAGATTTGTGTTCCTTATCTCCTCAGAGGATACCAGTCTGAAGCTGCGAAGCAATGATAATGAATCAGCTTGCACATATTCGATTCCTAAAGCAGTTTGCATGAAAACTGTGTATATGAAACATAACTGCTTTTGTACTCTGGGTACTCAAGTGTATTTTCAAAGGTAAAAAGGGGGTTTCTGTGAAGTTATGCTGTTGCCGTTTAAAGAGCATATATTCATCCTTCCTGTTTGATTACTCCAGCAAAAATTAGCGGCTTCTCTTTGATATTTAGTTCCATTTTTCTATTCAAAAGGTATTTTACAAATTCACGCTTGGACTGCTGGCGTGATTTCAAGACACAAGGCCAAATCCTGCTCACTATATAAACAAAGTAGCATACATTAATTTCACATTGCAGTTGACTAAGATGAAGATTTTATTAGTCCTCCCACTAATTCTCTAACTGTAACTTAAATATGGACTTCAGGTTCAGGTAAGTTATTTTTTCTGGCTCTCTAGATCGTGATGTTCACTTCAACAAAAATCTCATTGGAAGGGGAGTTGACTTTTGGCCCAGGTCTGCAGACTTTTTTTGGACATGCTCAACATTAGGCACATAAGCAATCCAGTCCCTATTCAGCAAATCACATATATGTTCCATTCACTTCAGCTGGAATTACACACATGCTTAAATGCCTATGGAATATTTCTGTTAGGTACTATTGGTTGTAAGAAAAGGAGCTGCTTCTGAAAACATACAGACAAACCAAGTCTCAAATGATATTGGCTCAGCCCCTCATTCAGAGACTGAACTTGCAAATTCAAACTGCTGTGAGCTCGTGAAAACTGGACTGCTGCCAAAAGGGGTGGTCCCATCTTCAGCTGCCTATTGGCCACACATTCCTGCCCTTTCCTTTGCACTGGTTCTAGTAAGTATGTATGCGGCATGATCTCTGTGCTTTCTAGGGATTCACAACACATGACTTACACTTGCTTGAGGGCTTTAATGAATCAGTATGTTGATTATATTGAGAATGAAGTGTAATTGTTGAGCTATACATTTCTAGGCAGCATTTCAGTTCATTTCTTTTCTCCTAAAAATGATCACCTTCAGGGATTCTAATAAAGAAAGAGACAATGCAATCAAAGTAAAATTAGGCTGCAACAGAAATGTATACTTCATAATGATTTGGGATGATGCCTTAAAGAAATTTCTGCAGCTGAATCAGGTAGTGGATTGTGTCTTGCACAGTCCACCTAGCACTCAGAAAGAATACTTATTGCTGAAGGTTTTGGGCCTCAGAATATACCGAAAGAGAACTCCTTTCTAGGATACCTGCATTTTGCAACCCTTCAGTTAGGCTTGCAAAATACAATTAATATATTGGACTTGTTTTATTCTGATTGGCCAATGAGCACTATGAGAACTAGTCTGGGTCAGAATTTGATTGTGAAAGGGCAGAGTTAGTAGAATGAAGTTAACAAGCTTTCCTAGGTCCTTAAGGAACTGAAGTTAAGAGTATGACATGGAGATATGGACTAAATAACAGTTAGTTAAGCCAAATAACATTTAATTTATCATGCAAACACATTGATTTAAAATCAAAGTCTCTGATTCACCATATTCCATTCTATTTCCAGACAAAGGGTCCAGATTAATGAATTACAGTCGGTCAACAGAAGATTACAGACAACTCTCTGTGGACTGTAGTGACTCTAATAGTATTTCAGAAAGCACATCTTTGATACTTTCTAACCAGGGACACAGGAGAGGTAAGGTTTTCTTGAAAGACAGTGGTTATAAATTATCAACTCACCTGAGTTGGTAATTTTGTCACCTGAAATGTGAGACTACCCTCATATGGTCATGCAATAGGTACTCCCAGACGCATGTGGTTATGTGACTAGGGAGGTGTATTTGTGTGAGGCTGCAGAGAAGAAAGACCCTTTTACCCTGGGTTCTTTTTTACCTGTGTCCTACTATAAGGACATTCATTCCCTGGCTACCATATAGGACCATCACCTCTTTCTTGCTTTATGCCCCCTTGCTAGATGAAGCTCTTCACAGCAGATTACAGACAAAGCTTGGCTGCGTGTCTCTGGCAGATGGGATCTGGGAACAGGTGAGAGGCCAGGGAGCTGCCCCACATACACACAGGATGGCAACGTCACAGCAAGATGGCAGCATGGAAATTAGCTGAATCTATAAATAATATCAGAGATTTGAATGGTGGGGAGTAATGTTTCTTCAAACAAATTCAAATCTAAGTGGAGTAATACAGAAATCTAGTGGAAAAAACAAACAAATCACTCAGTGTTTTGTTTGTTTTTGCTTTGTCCTAGAGCCATTGTATATTTCCTGGGCTGTGTGTTGTTTTTATTGTGCTAAATGCCAAGTTTCTCCGCTGCTCTTCTGATTTACCTTGTCTGGACATATCTGGAACTTCAGCTCCACTGTCAATCTTTTTATGGCAGGAACAGCATAAAAGCAACTGTTTGGGAGAAGACCTATTCAGTGCAGACACTCTGGTGTACCTCAGTCAGGGTCCTTCCCAGGCCGCTTAAATCACAGTGTAGGAGAAAATTACTGAAGCAAAGAGGGGATTTCAGCAGAGGAGGAGATGATGGCAGCTAAGGAGGAGGAAGGGCGGCACTCCTGTGCCTATGTATCTTCATGCTTATATTGGAATCTGAGTTAGAGATGCCTAGGCAAAGGGTGTTCACGTTGCCTGACAAACTCTCTGTTACCCTAATGTCATGAACTTCTCCCAAAAAGCCAAGTTTACCATGCCAGCTCCCCATCCTCAGACTCCTACTCACGTTTACTCTCCCAGTCCACAGCTGCCCACCTCCCCTCTCCTTTCAACCTTTCTTCCCACTTCCTGGGTCACATCTCCCGAACCTCCAGATGCACACCCAGACGTACACTCACCACCTGCTGCTCCCAGAGCTCTGCCCAGTGCTGGTGACAGTCACTCCAGGGTTTACCTCCTCCTTCTGCCTCCTTTGGTGGCCGTGCTTCTCTCTGCCGCTGAGGCTGGCCAAACACAGCCTCTGCTAGCTCCCCATGCAAAACAAAGTCCTAGCTCCTGCCGTGGCAGGGATTCAAATTTGCCCTGTAAGCATGTGTGGGCTTTTATCCTAGAAATCTATTATGATGCAACAAGACATGCACACTGACAGGTTAGTTCACTGATGTCATAAATAACAGGTAACTGCTGAGTTTCCCCCACTTTTCTCTCACTGGGGAGCATTCGTTTGTGTTTCTGATATCCAGCTGCTGATTTTCATGAAATTTGTAGGAACACGTTACTCACCCTCTTTCAGATTTGACAAGTTCTAAATTTACTGGGCAAAAATGGTAGACAGATAGACAGCACGATCTCAAGGGACTAATTTCCTTAGGAACCATGGCAAAAACTTGGGTGCACACTGCTTGATCAAAAATCTGCCAAGAGTCGATTCATGGAGGAAAAGACAATATATCCAGGGAAAAAGTGTGCACTGTACCCTCTCACCCCTCTACCTGAGGAAAGTGAGGGTACTGGTACAGTTGCTGTTGATAATTCCCTCCTGTCAAAGACTCGCTTTTCTGAAGCCCCAGAATTGCAGTCAACATCAACAGCAATAAAAGCTGCACCTTCTGCAAGACTTGGTGTCAGTCACATCCCAAATGGCAGGTAGTGAAGGCAGATGCAGGAGACTGTTTCGAAAGTCCTTTTTTTAAAAATCTTGGTCAAAATTTTGACAAAGGCTCATTCCAGTGAATCTGTGCATGTCTCACATTCCACTGAGATAGTGGCAGCTGTAGCTACTCAGCATTTTGTAAAACTGAGCTCTAAAAATACAAGGGAAAAACAGATTGTCTGAACTTGTTTGCCACAGACATACCTTCATTACAAAAATACATTCTTCTCCTAAAAGATATATTACCACCCGGAAGAGCACCATTACCAAGGGAGATCAGTATCCATATCCAGACTGTACTTTGGAAGTTCATTTAATATCTAATAAATTAATCATCTATAGGACCAACTTCTTTGAGAGCCACATGTCAACCTAAAACACTAGGAACGTGTTGGATTTGTAATCAAAGCATGGCAGTCTGGCCACTAAAACTAGCCAACTTGTCCCACTACCATGACAGCTGAGACTGAGAAAGCTACGGGGAATTTTACATCCTTGTCAAAATATATATATACAGATATGTGAAACTTACAGTGTGAGAGGAGAGTTTTGCAGGGCTTTCTCATTAAAAAGGATTATGAACATGTAGTTTCAGAATATAGAACTGAATCTTAACTTTTGTAACTACACCTCATTGTTTGGCTTATCTCACAGTCTCACGTTTTGTCACTACCAAATTACTGAGGAACTAAAAGCTTATCTGCTATAGCACCGACTGCAGCTCGAAAAAGCTGGTTTTTAAATTGTTATTAATTCTTTATAGTTACATATTTGATGTTTGCTGCATATTTTACTAATGTAGAAGTAGATTCCCTAGATTTTTAAATTTCAGTTGGTAATTGTTATACTGGAATTCAATGCTATGTTTTTGTGTTGGAATTCAGAATGAGGTTTTAGGATTTAGTTCATGAACAATTTTTCCAGGAAAATGTTGGTCTAAATGATTCCTTCCCCAGTAGCTCAACTTATCATCTCTATAATTTTGCCTGTGCAAAACTTTGATAGGCGATTCTTTAAATAAGATCAATGAAATGATCCAAGCAAAGAAAAATTTAATCCCTTCCCCTTTCTTTAAAGGCTTTAAAATAGCTTTGCTGCTAGAAAAAATATTCATGGGACTACAGCTTGAATAACCGTTCCTGGTTCTATCTCTAAGTTTCAGCTTTTGCATATTTGGAAGAAGCAATGCCTATTGCTCTCTAGCAGCAGAGCTGATTGAAGGTGAAAAAAATATTCAGATCTTATTTACTAATGATTCAAAAACCATCCCTATATCTCCATCAGATTTTTATGATGTAGAGACATTCACAAAATAGTTAAGTGCCAAATACCAGTGGAATATTTACAAACTGTTTTCATTTCAGTGATTTTATATCCTATTCTGATTAACCAGGGAAGTCATATGACATTTTTTCCCTGATTTTATGCCTGGAGACAGAAGAACAAGGAATATTAAATATAACTTCTGAAGAGCAAAAGCTGTTTCACAAACCCTCCATACATCTATGGAAATAATAGGCATTGTACATATGTAGCTATTCTCCAAACTACGCTCTTGTGTAGTGTTGTGAAAAGGGAATAACAATAACTACAGAACTGGGAATGCTGCTGGTGTAGTATTCACTTAGCCCTATCAAGCAGTCATTTATCATGCCCAAAGAAGGATGCAAGAGAGGAAGTAGCCAGTCAACATTTTCTCCTTGTTGTAATTGTCCCAGGATGTAACGCTGAGTGCTGCTACGATTGCTTCAGTCGTGCTATTTCCTTTATTCATTTCAGGAAGAGTCCCACTAACACACAGGTCATGGGATCCCACCCTCAGCGGGTCAAGGACACAAAGTAGCTACAAACTCTTCATAAACAGGTAATCAAAACATGTATTCCTAAAAGAAGGAAACTTTTTTATTACCTAGTGAAGCATGGGAGATGTAGCACGGCCATGTCTTCATAGGAAAATGCCTGGATCACCATCTGAATCTGTCACCTGTTATCCTAACAGACACTGTTTATGTAGAGCTAGAGTGCACCCAGACTCAGCTTGGCCCCAAGCAAAACTGTCCTAAAGCTTTAGTGAGGGAAATGGAGCCTGGGCCATCAACAATCCCTTCAAAACAAGTGCACCAAAGCCTTCCATTTTCACTCTCTTACCACTGTGTCCTGTCAGATGTCACTGCCCCCTGACGAGCTGGCACAGCTATCACACAGGTCCCCCAGCATGTTTCAGTTCAAATCAGACTGGTGAAAAGCAGCAGCTAAGCTGGCTTACTGTGACTGAAACAGCTGGGAAGCAGCTCTACAGACAGAGTGGAAGGGAAAAATTTGAGGACACAATTTCCATAGAGAGGGAGTGATAAGATCTTATGGACAGTCACTGCCTTCACTGGCATGACACTTTGCAGAGACATATTTGTCTACACTTAGATGTTGGGTAGGATCTGTGTCTTGGACTGTTGTCATACTAGCAGAGACCTGATTTATTCTGCAGTGGTTCTGACAGACCATGTACGTGATCCATAATATTCAGCAGAATTTCCATTTCCATCTCAGTTCTTAAAACGGATTTGCCTCACTTGTTTCAACCTTACTCAGCCCTGCACCATCACTTTACTGAAGAGTTACAGGTAACCCAGGGACATAAGCAGTAAAAAACTCTGGTCTGTCATGAGGATTAGCCTCATTTCAGCCATGGAAGTATATAACAGGAGCCCTGTACACAGACAAGGGAAACTGAGACTTACACAACTGATGCTAACTCCTTCACAAAAGCCAGGTAAACTCCACTCCTGCCAAAAAAGAGTTGTCTAGAGTGTTAGCATAGTGCAGCTGAAATCACGACTGTTTCCAAATAAAGAAGAAATATTAAATAGTTAGCCTCTAGGCATCACAAAGACCAGAATCTCACAGATAAGCACCATGTAATCCCTATGGACATCCCATTTAAATTGAGTTCTTGACCCAGTTAAACGGAGTTTCTTCTTTTAACCATGACACGTGTAATTCAGGCCCACAGGAAATGCTCCATTTAGATCAATTCCCAATTAAATGTGTGCCAAGTAAACTGTTTGAACTTCCTGATAAGTCGGCCACAATGATCTGAACTATGTGAGATACTCCAGTACACCTTGAAAATTCCAACAAGAAGCAATTGCCAGCAGGAAGCAGGACAGTAGCACCTTTTCTGAAGAACTGTCTATCACACACACACATCCACGCATATATATGTATATATATATGCTTATATAGCTGTCTACACACACACACACACACACACACACACACACACACACACATATATACACCTGCAATGATATCAATAAGAGAAATTTTATTTTACTACTCTACCACGGGGAGAGAATGTCTTCTTAATACAGAGCCTTGGGTTTTCTGCTCATCACATTTTTATATCCACAAAAGCCACTTTAGGTTGTTTCAGGCATGTTTCTTAGTTAAAAGATCTTTCTGAAGTTGCATTCATGGAAACAGAAATACCTATCTATCTTTATAGACAAAGGAATGCAAGCTACTCCTAGAAACTTTGTTATAAACCTTTTGAAACTCCCTGAATGAATTTCCTAAAGCAACTCCGTAACATGCACAAGAGAAGGATGAAATTTTGGGATAACAAAAAAGCTTCCTTGTGATTTTGCCATTTCTTAAAAATACAATTAACTAAAATCCATGTCAATCTTTCTGTCTCTACCATATAATCAATAAGTCTTTCCTCACTGATGAGTATATACTGTATTACAAGTTTATTCTCAGCATACATTTGTCTGCTCCTGTGGAAGACACCATTACTTTATGGGTTGAAAGTACAATATAAGCACAGTTTTCCGAACTGAGCTCTCACACTAATCTTTCTCTTAATTAAATTGAAAATTCCCTCAGCTCCCAAAGACATTAATTTACTCTAATGGATTAGTATTCAAATGATCTAGTTACCCTTCCTGGAAACATTCTGAATAATGTTGCAAGAAATGTTAGTGTTTTCTGAGGCTTTTTTGTGACCTCAAGGTAGAAAATAGTGACTGAGAAACTGACTCCACCCTGCAGAATTCTCTGAAAGGGCCCGGGCTGAATTCTCTGTCTAGTGGCTTCACCAGACTTAAACCAGCTCGAGCTGGCTCACAGGTACTCCTTTTGCATAAAGGGTGTTTAAGATTTATTTATAAAGGATGTCAGCAAAATTATGCCTGTTGAATTCTTTTCTGTAAAGACAACATCATGTAATAGCTTAAAAATGCTATTGTCCTGGATTTCATAAGATCCTGGTACTCAATTTACCTTAAGATCTTTGTCCTCAACTCCGCGTTGTTTTGGATGCACAACTGGATATATTGCTCACTATGACATCTCCTTTGAAGGTCAGTCAGCGCTGTAAAAGAAATCCCTAGCGGAGCTCAGAAGAACAGCAAACATAACCTGCTGAGTTCAGGCTCCACCTTCTCTGTGTCTACAAAGGACTACACAGCAGCTGCTGCATCACAGAAATGTCTGTTCCAAAGGAAGGAAAAGGTGACTAATGAAAAATGTATAACCTGATTTCAAAATGTAAATATCTCTAATGAAAAACCTCTCATCCAGTTGTCAGCCACCAATGATGTGCATATTGGCTATGGAATAATGTCATTAGATGGGTCTCCTAAAATGACAAACTCCAAATTAGGCACGAGCCAGTTGTGAGAAACAGCTCAGAACTGAAGGCAATGAAAACTCTTGTACATACAGAATAGGCAAAAGATTAGGATTGAATCCTCTGTGACCTACATGTGTGATTTCTGCAAGCAGCAAACACCATATGGAGTGTTTTGATCAACTACCTTGACAGGAACTTCAGCACAGCAAAGAAAGTTACAGAGAGCCTGAACCCAAACCCTTGCTTGTCAGTAGCGATCAAAGGACTTAGATTTGTTTTACAGTGTGTGCCTCGATAGAAAGCATACACTAACAGTGAGTGTGCCAAACCAATGGTTCACCTAAGGGTCTATTTCTAGCTGCTGAGTTGTTGTAGGACATTTTTGTGGTTTTCCTCTCTGTTAAGTGGGAAGGATAATGCTTCTTTGGCAGTCAGATTACAAAAATCCAGAAATAACTGAATCACAGAAAACTCCACAATGCTGCTGCCCATGGTATGCCATCTCTTGTGGAAAACAGAAGGGCCAGGTTTCAGGCTGGTGAGTACTTCCACTTGTGCCAAGCTCACATGCACAGACACACGTGGACTCTTTTGATATTTTATCTAGGTTGTTTTTGTTTGCATAACACTGCTGAAAACAATCCTAGCAATCACATTTCTGTGGAGTGAGGAAAATCACTTCTATTTTAGTTTCCTTTTTCCAGGGCATTTTATTTTTTATGACAGTTTGGCTCTTCAAACAATCTCCCTCCCCAGTTTCAGCGCAAGTGAATCAAACTTGCATGCTCCTTTGCTGCTGCTGCTATCATTATTATATCCGTATTTCAAATTAGTGCCTCTCTCCATTCTCCAGTACTTCACATTCTCTCCCATCTCAAGATGGATCACTGGTAGAACTTTGAGGATCACGAGTTTCAGTTAGATATTCTAAAGAAATCTTTTTATATGTAAGTTTAGTTTTTAATCGTGTTAAAGTTTTTCAATGGAATAGTAATTAAGTTCCTCAAAAGGAGTCCAACAAGTGTTAAGAGAAAGTGTATTGTGAAAGACAGAAAAGAACTAAGGCACAGCATGGCAATCAATGATTTCTTTGCTGTTATTTTTAATACGTCCGTACTAGGATTGTCAGTCATTCACCAGGTCTCAGTTGTGCTAGGTACTGCACAGGCACAGAACAAAAGATATGACAATTTTTATGCTTCTTTGGCCATTCCTCTGGACTGATTGTTTCTAAGATAAACCAACATCACATCCATAGTTCTTTAAAGCTATACAAAATGCTGCAATGGGTCATTTCTAGGCCCTCTCCTCCCTACTTGATGACCCTCTGCCAGGGACTGTATCAAGGGTGGCACAGAACAAGCTGGCTCTGCTGTACTCCCACACTGGAGCAAATGCTCAGAATATGTGCATGACTTCCTAACTCCTCTTTATACCACTGGGAGAATCAGAGGCAGATGCTGCAGGAGACAGGCTTTGGATCTTATTATTCAAGTCTGAGACAGTTCATCATCAAAGCAGGGGTTTATATGTAGAAGAGGAGATATGGGCGGTGTGATACCATACTGTGGAAATTCCTGTGAGAAAGGACTCACCCTCAGCATAGCTATGGATGGAGGAGAGGTAGGAATGGTTGGCCCTGGTATGGGTAAAGTTACAGCTGATTTTCACCAGTGGTGGTCTATGCTATAAGTTTCAATTTTTGCTGTACTCATCATGATTTGATATTATCTTTTTTTCCTTCTCTAAAAAGAAAATATGCTCCTTTCCGTCTGACTGACTGCTGTCATGATGACAACAAGAAGAAAGAAATGGAGTAGAGGTCTCCATGAGTGCATGCATTCCCCTCCCCAAACCCTCCCTCATGACAGAAAATGGCTGTATCCAGCACAGACTGGAGACATTCAAAAACAAACAAACAAACAAAAAACAAACAAAAACAGACAGATGCACAGTACAAAGATATCATGTAGCCATAGCTGCATGCATTACAGAAGGAGTGCACAGAATGTAGGCTCTGGGCTGGACCAGGCTAGAATTAAGAAATTATTGGAAGGGGGCATGTGGTTTACAGGCTGGGTTTTGTCAGATTCATCTATGTTTTTAGATCCTTGCTGCAGACTGAAATGACTGCAGCAGAGAGGGGAACAGGTAAAGGTCTGCAAGTAGTAAGATGTGGATCCTTCCAGCCATTCTCCATGATTTAGTCCTTTGACCCATTTAGATCTTCTTCTTAGAAAATTTATGATTTGTTTCAAAATATTAGTATTATGCTGCCAAAACACAATGTAGGGTTTTGTAACATGAATAAAGAGAGACCAGCAATAAAAATTTAAGACAAAACGGTCAGATGATACAAGGGAGTAAAGGTTTACAGAGGACAGGGCTATAACATTTGAGATTCTTCTACAGTGCACCTTTTTTTTTTTAATTTTGTCTTTTTATCACATCAGGAACTAATCTAATTTGCTATACACTGTTCTGCAGCTGCCAGAGCCTGGTCTTTAAATTATTACTGCTCAAAATAGCAAGCTCTTCTTTATATTGTGTCTTCCTGACATTTATAACTCATGCTTCTGGCTTCTTTGAGAAGGTCTAGCTAGGACTGCCTTTAATCATTTGGTATTCACTGACATTTAATAATTCTGATACTTGACAGAATATCAGCGATTGCCTGCAAAATTGGTGTTCATCATGTTGGTGAATTTGAAAAAGTTTCCTGTGCTGGATGTCTGCACCTAGTAATTGTTTGGTGCTTCAAGATTTCCATATCAGTAGCCTGAAAAGGAAGACAGTGTAGTTTAACGTTTAGAACATAGGATTCTTTTTTATTCATAGCTCTGTCACTGACTTACTGTGGTACATAGGAGGGTTACATGTTCTGCACGTCAAACCATGCACTGGCTGTGCGGTTATGCTTAGCATAGTGTTGAACCACAGCCAGTAAGTCCTAGGAAAGGCTGGCTAAATAATATTCTTCACGGGGATGATAAAAGATGTCTTCTCCAGAATTTAATGGAAGCTCTAGAACTTTGACATTTTTCAAATGCAGATCAGTGTTATTCCTTCGAAAAAAATTTGCACAAATTGTCAAACAACTTGTGCTGAAACTTACAAAACAATTAAACTTGAGCTAGATGTTCAGAAAGAAAAAAATCATCTTGTGCTGTTAAGGTTTACTGAAACTAAAGGAAAAGAATACAAGATCTGCTAATAACATGTATCAGGCAACCCTCACCAAAGGGAGCAGAAGCAGTTCTGCAATTTAGTCTGGTTTCCTATGGAAGCCAGGCTTATGACATCACAACGGTGTCTATGTATGTGTGTACATGTCTGTGATTGTCCTCATAGTAGCTTGGGAATCAAATGTTTTTTCAGGCGCATTTGACAAAGGGGAAAAGGTCTCAGAAGAAAGTTTTTATAAGTGTCATGAAAATAGGTGGTTGTAAAGGAAACAGGCCTTGTAAGTGCATTGACAGAAGAAAAGGCTTCAGCATGAGCTCACTCCTAATTGGACCCCAGAAAGTCCACACAGGAGAAACCCCAAACAGAGAGAAGTCTTCAATCAGCGTTCGCATCTTATTAGATATGAAGTCAATTAGCCACAGCATACAGATCAGTGGGAAACAGGTTTCATTGGTACTGGTGTTTGAGATCTTCTTAACATTAAGGAGATGTTTATTAAATCTCTAAATTCCCTCCTCACAGTTTTCAGGTCCAGAATTTATTATTTTGTCTAGTGAACCACCAGTGACCTTACAGCTGCCTGGATCAATTGTGGTAAGTATAACCGTTAAGAGTTTAGGACTAATCTAGTGACCTTTTAGTTGGGGCTCTTTATAAGTTGCATCTCAGTCCCACCCCAGGCTCCTTGTCATGTCTTCCTCCCAAGCCAAGTTGGGGTTCCTGCAGAGATAGTGAGACTCGAAAAGGAGAGCATTTAATTCTCAGTGCTACGTAGCCATCTCTGTTGCTGAGAATGGTGTGAAAAAAGCTTAGTTTATCCTTCTCAGCTAAGAATGCTCACTTTAGTAAGACTTTTGAGAATAAGATTATGCAGCAAGCATGCAATATGACATCTAGAGCCAACATATTGTACTCCTCCAGTTTGCAGGCACATCCTCTACTCTTCATTAAGATAAGTAAAAAGGTGACAGCATATAGCAATAGATATTAAGGTAAAGAAAATCTGAAATTACCCTCAAACCTAGAATGACCCTGGTGATTCTAGAATCTGAGAATGCTCAGCGGTCTTCTTGGGATTCCCTGGGTTTTTGAAAAACTGGAAATGTTTGGGACATTAATTTATGATAAGGGAGGCAAGGAACAGCATAGTGTTGTGACCAATTCCAGCAGGTAGTGTAAGGACAGGAAACTCAGGGGCCTCATTAAAAAAATGCTTTGGAACTTCTGCTTGAACTTGGCACTCATTCTTCACTCTTTGTTACATGTTCTTAGACTAAAAAAGGGAAATCCTATTTGTCCCAAAGGGATCTCAATGTGATTCTGCTCAACGGGCAGTGCCTTGAGGTGAAATGTGACATCAAGTCTAAGGCAAGAGATGTTTTCAACACCGTGGTGGCATATGCAAACTTAGTGGAACATTTCTACTTTGGCTTGGCTTATCTGAAAGGTACTGAGATACAGCTAACTGTTGTACCAGTTCTCTCCTGACAGTGTCTCTGTAGTCACCTTATTAATGAATTTCTCTAAGATCCTGATCCTCACATGGAAGCAGATCCAAAGCTTAAGCAAAAGTAAGGTACATTGGTGTAAATTGCACTGCACTGATGTAAAGCATGTCTACCCTAGGACTGTGTACTAGCACAGCCATGCAGAAAAGGCTCTGGCCCAGCCTTACACTGGAATAATGGCGAGCCCCATTGCTCCAGCAGAAATTCAAGGAAGCACTGCAGTGAGGCAGGCTGACGGTCTTTGCTCCTAGATGTAAGCTGGAGCACAGGCCCAGCTACTTCACCTGTAAGTCCTACGTTTCCCTAACCCCTTTCAGATGGCAAGCACTTCTAAGGCACCTGGAAGAAGCATACCTTGTGTGTAGGGCACAAGGATTGCAGTGGGGTGCAGAACCTGAGTGGTAAGCTGAATGCAAGCCCTTTGAATTCTTCTTGAATGCTTCCGTATATAGCACCCCAATCCAGCATCTAACAACTGTAATACTAAATTGCACACTAAATGTTATCCTAAGTTCTCTGTCAAAGCAATGAGTTAACCCAAGGCACAGGGAAGATGATCTATTGTTTTATTGCTAGTGATGCACTGAATGAACATAGCAGAACTTTGAGCTATTGAAGTATCTCCAGACTTACCACAGAACTTACAATTCTCATTTCAGGTAAAGAGTTTTTCTTTTTGGATGATGAGACCAAACTCTATAAAGTGGCCCCAGAAGGCTGGAATGACCAACCCAAGAAAAAAACTTTCTAAGGATAAAATTCTTTGTCAACCACTTTAATGTTATCCAGTAAGTGCATAGTTTTGCTTACTGCAGGAAAAACAGTAGCATTTATCCTGAGTGTTCAGGGCTCCTGCTATGTTCCTAAACTTTTTTGTGTTCCAGGCACAGCTTGACAAGGCATCAGTTTTACCTGCAGCTTTGTATTGTAACAATGAGACTGCCCTGAAACTTGGTGCTTTGGCTTTACAGGCAGAGCTTGGCAATTACGCTTCTGAGGTAGGGGTAGATAATAATTCTCAAAGATCTCTGTCACCGCTTTTTGCAGCTTTTGCTTGTCATACAGAGTTTAAAGAAGAAATGTGAATAGCATGTAACTTCAGTTAAATCCTTCAGTAATCATACTTCAGATTTAATTTAATTACAAAATTTGCCTGATTATAGAGCAATAATGAGACAGATGAATTTAGCAGGAAATCTGGCAGAAAGGTACCTCCTGAAAGACTCTTGCTACTTCATCATTGATAACTTAGCCAGAAAGAAACTCCAGAAGATCTGTAGAAAATTTCCAAAATGGACACAACTTAAAAGTGCAGAGGGGCTTAAAGAAATTAGAAAACATGGAAGATAAAAATAAAGGAACACTCCAGAATTCACAAAGGCTTTTTGTGTAGGCTCAGATCCATAAGATGTAAAGACAGGAAGGTCACTGATGGTACATCTGAACTAGTTCTCTCAGTTTCATATTGTGCAGAAAATACCCACTGATATTCTCTGCCATATCTTCAGTTGTATAAATCAGAGTAGCTCTATCAATTGAACTCTGAGTGGTCTAGCTTTATAATCAACCAAAGTCTGATTCATCCTGGCATTGGGTCCCCCATCGTATTGATGTACATTGATGCAACTGCAGCTGCCAGCTCTAAATACAAGACTGCACTCATGCCTCTCGGCCCACCTCTTTCCTCCCCTCTGCACAGAGGAGCGGTCTATGCTCTAAGCATTGGGCTCAGCACGGGTGCAAAGGATGCATTTAGCTGTGAGGACACTATCTGCTGTTCCCATCTTCTCTCAGGAAATGTCAGCAGGGTGACTTCAGTGTATCAGTCACCCTGAAAATGGAAATGCACCAATAAGAAAAGTCAAAAAAGAACAAAGTAAAAGCTAACCTTTTTTTTCCCCTCACCACCCCCCGAAGATGCATGGAAAGAGCTATTTTCGTGTTGAGGACTACGTTCCAGCAAGTCGAATAGAGAAAATGACCCTGGCGTACATACAAAGAGAACTTGCTAAACTGCATCGCATAAATCGTTCCCTCTTTGAGGATGAAGCTGAACTAGAATTTTTAAAGGTAACTTGCCACACACCAAACACTTTTTTTTTGTTGTTGTAGAAAGTCCTTCTCTATTTACTGTCTTCTACTCTTTCCTTCTTGTCCAATACAAGATTTTAAACGTAGCAAACAACTTTGGATATCCCACAAAAAATTGAAAATATAACGCTGCTGCACACACTGTCACCCTAAATAGCCTGTATCACATTTAAATATTAGGCTTCCTTTCATAAATAGTTTATAAATCGTTAATGCAAATTTTCAACATGCTTAGGGTTAATGTGTATTTTCATCTACAGATATGTTGTCTGGGTTCTAGATGATTATAAATACACTAATTGATTGTATTAGAGATTATTATAAAGCATGGGAATAAACACCCTCTTGATTTCTAGAACTATAGGAGCTGTTCAGCCATTTTCTAAACATGTAGTGATTATTTGTTTAAAAATATTTGTAAACCCTGGAAGGGAGGGGAGAGTTGTCTGACATATTCTCTCACATGACTATATAGAGTGTCATGATGATATGAGATTTAATTTTTTTTCCTTATTTTCTCATCCTTCTCCCCCAACTTCTCTGTTTTCCATCATATGAAAAATATCAGGAGTTAGAGACTGGATAAACATCAGTAGCCATTTTGCTGCAGTGAGACATACTTTTATTTATAGCATCATTTTAAGCTAGCTGCTTAATTACGTTAGTTTATCATCTAACACTGTTTCTGGAATTGAAGAAAGAGATTGAAGCTTAGACTTAAGGACAGTCCCATCATGCATGGCAAATCCAGTGAAGAAAAGCAGCTTTGTTAGTATCTGTTTCAATGAGTAAGTCTGTAGAAGGAGCCAATGCATCATATAAGGTGAGAAAAACAGCCCCTGTGGCAAGAATATGCAAATGCCAAATATGAAAGGGACTTCAAAATTAAAGCCAAGATTAAGCTAGTGATTATGAATGCCCCAATTTTCAGGACTTCAACATTTTTTCTCTGGATACTTTCTGAAAAATAGATCTTGCTAAAGTGTTTTAATTTGGTCAATGAAAATCTCCATTCACGGTTGAAAAGCCATTTTGAGAACCTGCATTAGCTTCGAAAGAAAGAAATGGATTATAAAAAAACTCACATTGATCTGCAGATCACAAAAGAGGCCAGAAAATCATCCTCATATCCCACTGAGGGACTGTGGGATCTAAGTCACATTTTAATATTTTGTGGCCAAGTGCAGGAGAAAGAAGGATAAGTAATTACATCTAGAGCCTCTGGGTGAGGTTCCTCTAAGTCTCCTCTGCGTGCTGCTACAGGGCAAGGGCAGAAGCTGGCTCCTCAGTCCCTTGCAGTATAATCCTACTTGCCTTTCTCCCAGTAATGAGCGCTGTGCAAAAAAGAAGAAAGAAGTCTTACTCAAGGTCTTTTACTCCAAGTCCGGGATCGGGGGAAATTCTGGGGCAGTAAAATTCCCTCAAAAGTTGTCATCATATTTAAGCTTGACCTTGGGGCACAATTTAACAAATCCTATAACTTAACACTCCTGGCAATGGAAATTTATAATGTCTAATTTTAAAAGATTATAGTGAAGAATGAGTAGGGGTAGGTACCTGAGCTTATTGAAGGCTACGAGCTGCAGCTTCCTTGCTGTTAAGATTTCCAGTTTTTCATTACTACTATGGAAAGGAAAGCACACAAGCCAGTAACAATGTCAGAGTAGAGCTGGCACCAAAGCATTTGCAGTTTTAGAAACATCAGCATATTTACTATACCTCATGTTTTCTGGGTTTGCTCAGGAAAACAACGACAGGAAAGAAAATGGAAAGGAACACGGTTTAACATCAGTCAAGTAGCATTAATCCTGCATAGATTCCTATCTGGAGATCTGCACAAGTGCTAAGTAGCAGTAATACTGAGCACCTCAGTGCCACTATAATGTTTAGATTAGTGTGCAGGAAGCTAAATAATCCTCTTACCTCTTCAAACAAGGTGTGTGGGAAAGTGTTATTTCAACTTTACACATGGAGAATTCATGCCTGGAATGGCTCTATGACTCACCATGTTAGGTAAGGCATTTGATAAGGCAACAGGGATGAAAATTTGGTAAGAGTTTCCGCAGATTTCTAGAGAGAGTGAAAGAATATTCAGTACAGACACCCACAACCATTTCCCCCCCCCACCCCCAATCTACCTTCCCCTCCGCCATGCCTCTTTTTGAATAACGTATAATAATTCACTTTTCCTCTACAAAGGTGATTCAGCAACTTCCTGAATATGGAGTGTTATTCTATAGAGTGTCCCAAGAGAAGAAAACAGCAGGAGGGGACATCATCCTGGGAATCTGTGCCAAAGGCATCATTGTATATGAGGTCAAAAATCACACAAGAATTGCCAGTTTAAGATTCCAGTGGCGTGAAACAGAGAGAATTTCAGCTCATGTGAGTTGGGAAAAAGTGAACCTCTTCTCTACTACTTTATTCCCATTCTGTCTGTCCCTTTTATAAATATCTTGCATTTAGAGCTAGAATTAAACTTATTCTGTACAGACATGTCCATTTTGAAAACAGCCCCAAATCAAGGCTGAATGTGGATGTGAATCCCAAGAATACCAATTCTTAGTGATGTTCAGTTTGGGAATTTTTTACCCATTTCTGGAGGCTTAAGTCAAATGACTGCAAAACTGAACAATATGGTGTTAACTATTACAGGGGCTGTGCTAAACCTCTTTGTAGCATATTCCATACTCATTCCTCTCTCCCCTTTACTTCTCTCTCTCTTCTCCCGTGTTTTCCTTTCTACAGCAGGTCACGGGATCATATCTCTCTCTTTCTACATCTCATTTTTCCCATCCCCATCTCTTTGTATGCTGATGCTCGTTAAGAAACTAATATTGGTGACAAGCTTACAGCCCCTGCAAATTGGTATTCTGCCATGAGAGGTCTAGCAACCAACCACCACACAGTGTTCTTCTCTCCCAACTTGTTTTCCCTCCCAAATAGCCCATTTGAAGATATTTTCATTTTCACATTCCGTTGGTTTAAACATTTTAGCACGTTTAGGGCTAAGTTTTGCCAAGCCTATTAACCTGATCCCAATGCAGCCAATTCTAAAGGCTCTTGATTTAAACATAGGATTGTTAGGATTGAAAGACAGACACTTCACTCTACTTATTTTATGATAGGCATTACTGCACCCAAAAGGCATGCAGCCAGGCATAAATATATCTGGACAAATGAACAAGATTATACAGGTGAACTTTCAGTGCCTCAGTATTACGACTGATATGTTATATAAAACAAGCTATGCATTTTTTTTCCTTCAGAGAAAAAAATTCATGATTGAAAGCAGCTTCAGTGGCAAGAAACACACATTCATTACTGACACAGCAAAGACTTGTAAATATTTACTGGACCTCTGTTCCGCCCAACACAAATTCAATGCGCAGATGAATTCTAGGCAACTTCGGCAAGCTTCATCAGGTGAGCTATAAACGTAGTTCTGTTGTACAGGCCATAGGACAATGTTAGGTTTTATGGGGGAGAGGAGAACTCAAAGAAGAAAAATGGCCCTTAGTTCAGCTGAGAACCAGAGGACCTGCCGCATCAGTTTCACTTGAGCTTCAGTTCCCCACTGCAGAGCGGAAAAACATGCCTCCTACATCACAGTTAAAAATCTGTAAGTCTAAGTTTGTGTTTTTGTGTGTGTGTGTGTGTGTGTGTGTGTGTGTGTGTGTATGTGTGTGCGAGTGCGTGTGTGTGTGAGTGCGGGGAGGAGGTGAGTACTCTGGTGATAAACATCATATAGCTAAACTCAGATTTTAAAAAAGCTTGATTATACTTCACTTCAGGAAATCTGCTGGGGATTTTGAAGGAAGAGATCAGATTTATCCCCAGCGTAACTGAGAATTGTTCCACACAAAGAATAACTACAGTGTCCAGATACACTCGAGCAGAATTTAGTCTATTGGATATCTTTGCCTCAGACAAGGTTTCAGCCCTATGGTTCAAACTCAGACCAAAACCACTGAACCACAGGCACATCAGTCACGCTCACTCAACTATGTAGGTGTTAGCTGCTCTTCTCTTCCTCTATGTTTTGCCATGTCTGCAGAAGACCTGACTATTAGCTCCTGAGACTTCAGATTTTTCATAGTTCTTGGATGAGATACTGCCCAACCCAGGACAGTTACATTGCTTTTCTCCTCCCCTGTTCTCAGCATGCTCTGTGAAGATGAGTGAGGATAATTCTGGGGAAACTGAGGCACAAGAGAAAGGAAATAGCCTCAAATGACATAAATCTGCACCACTCTTGACTTCAGTGGAGCAATATGGGTTTTCACCAGCTTAGGACTTGTCCATTGGCTTGAACAGAATCATAATCATCTGCACTCACTGAAAATTTGACCCCATGAGTCACAGCAGAAGAAGAGAATCCAAGCGTCATGCTTTATATCCACTAGGATCCTCCTTCCTCTAGGAAAACTTTAAAATCATTGGCAATGAAGTTATATAATAGGATATAACATGGGACATACAATTCATAGCTTTTTTTTTTTCATTGAAGTTCTTTCACAAAAAATGAAATTTTTCTTGCACAAATTTGTTTCATAATGTGCTACAATGACACTTACGTTCAAGGCACCTTCTTTATTAGGGCTCCTGTAGTTTCTAACAAAGCTTAGTGGAACTGTGATTTGCAGCATACAAATGAGTCCTAATAGTGAATTTAAAGGACTGTACAAGATGATAAGACTCCTTCTGCATGAGCCAACAGGAAAACTCTCTTCCTTCTGCTGCCCAGTGCAGATGCATACACCACAATCTCTTCAAAATTTGCTAGCAACCCCCAACTTTGAATATCACCATGGCAACTCTCAGATTGTGCTAATAATATGGACAGTTAACCCTTCTGCTGCCTTCACAAACACCTCCAACCAAAATCACTGAGGAAAGAGGGAGCCCAGGCTTAATGCTGTAAAAAGTAATGTTCTAAAAGTT